ACACAGTGCTGCGCACCGCAACCCCCACCCCCACCCCCCGCGCGGTCGCAAGTGGTCTCAGTTGCGGTTCTGAAATAAGCATTTTAAAAATGTTTTCAAAATAAGTCTGGCACTTTGGAGAAAATCTGGAACTCGCTGGAGGGATTATGTATCTCCTCTGGCCTGGGAACGTCTCGGAGTCCCCCAGGATGAGCTGGAAAGTGTCGCTGGGCAGAGGGATGTCTGGGTCTCGTAAAATATACGACAGGTCTGGACCACTCGTGAATTTTGTTCGTTTCTGAAAAAATCTTAGAATATGAAAACATTGGTGAATGCCACAAATTCTCCTAAATCACTCGTACGCACAACTGAAGAACAAATCTGTGCGTACGAACGGTTCTTGCATGAGGCCCAATGTGTTGTTTCAATCTAATAAATACGGAGCGATGGACGTAGCGCCCAACAAGATGGCAGCCACAAATCTCACCCAGCGCCATCAGTGGTCATTCCAGCATATTTCTATCTCAGTGAGTAGAAGTGGTGAAAAATGCAGTGTAAATAGTGTAATAAGATGTTTAGACAGAACCTGCAGTCGTCTAACATCAGCATGCTCCTGAAACTACAGAAGAGGTGAGGGGTGAACATGTCAGCTTCAGCAAACATTCACACTGAACAAAGTTACAAAAATACATCTCACCCGACCAACTCCACTTGTTTTGAGCAGATTTGCTCTACAAGCTTTGTGCGTTTAAGGCTGCCACACAGATTAAATCCAGTGGATGTGGAAAAGTCTGGAACCAATAATCCATTAGTTACACACAAACATAYACACATTTTCACAATCAGACTTCACCAGCAGCAGCTAGACTAAAGGAAGGACACAAATCTAAGAAATACCTCRGGAGAAGCTTGGGATTTATAAATACTCCTCCCATTAAGTAACAATATGTGCAGGACTTGAATTGTACTGGTATGAAAAAGGCAGCTGCCACTCTTCAATCTGACATCTATGAATCAACCTGCCAGTGGAAATGCACCTTTTTTTCTTTTTTTTTTTGCAAACATTTAAACTTTCCCCGAACAGCACAGCACCTAGACCATCCTATTAAATATGTGGTCTCACATTAAAGGTTCCAGACCATTTAAAAACTTTTTTTTGTAACTATGCAGTGCAACGTWGTTATTGAGCCCTAAATGCTGTCATTTCTAATGTCATTCCCTTCTTTACTTGACCATTTTAACCATCGGGCTACACCTGAGTCTCAACTTCCTCTCCGTCTAAGCCACACGTAACAAAAAGACRACTTCTCTTCAGACAGGATCACTGCTGATCCTCGGCAAAGATTAGCAAGTGAGCAGTGGAAAACTGCAAAAAATGCCAACAGTGCAACACGGCTGCCAAAAAGACGCTTCAGTCCTCTTGTTCCAGAGTTCGGGCTGCTCTCTGTTGAGTGGAGGAAAAGGGAGATGAGCAGCTCRGGGTGGGGCAGCAGATTGCCAGGGATGTGAAGGAAGCGTCCAGCGTCAGTCCTACATCCTGACCAGCAGGAATGAGAGCAGTTCATCACTTCCAGAGGTAGACACTCTCCCATCACAGCTGCACAAAGTCTAGTCTGTGTATTCTGCCACAATGGACAGCAGTACTGTGATGTCGTCTGGCTTTCCTCCTGCACAGACACAAAACACAAAACTAAATCAGGATGCTGGCAGGAAATTCAATTCCAATACCATTAAAGTATCTGTGACATCAAATTTTTGTAATACATGTGAATGCGTTTTTGGAAAGAGAACATTGATAATGTATTGCAAAACAAATTTCACACAGTTGAGATGATCAGTTTTTGAGATGTTTGCATGTGAAGAAACAGGAAGTGATGTCAAAGGGGAATGTCTGCATGTAAACAGAGTGATGCTACAATAATTAAAGAATCTGATGTTTCTTTAGATTAGAGATTAAATAYGATTGTTTCAATAAGCAAAGACTAGAGAGGTTCTTTTTTTAAAGAGATCCCCTTTGATGTCACTTCCTGTTTCACTTTGCTGAGCCAAATTCATGAGAAAATATGACAGTTATGAGACAAAATGGGTAAAATCATGTGTACTATGTTTAGGGTTGGGTACCGAAACTTGGTTCCAGTATGGCACCGGGGCGAAGATCAACGGTAATACTCAGACCGAAACACAACTCTAATTTCGGTGCTTTATTTCGGTGCCTCAATGAAAGCTGTTAATTGCGCCCTCTGGTGTTCACTGTTAACAGTGACAGCCTCGGCACACAATCTCCACAGAGTGCCAACCATAGGGGTGAGTTATGAATTTTTAATGTGTTTTAACTGTCTAATTTAGCTGTTTCTGCCCGCTGTGTCGGACTATGAGTGGTAGAGAGAACTGCTGTGTGTTTGTTTCACTTCGAACAGAAGCGCAGTGAGCGCCATGTTTTTACTTTCGGTTTGAAACCGCTTTGTAACTAGCATGTCCGAGTTGTTTTTCTTTTTAAAAATGCTGGAGTTGCTCACAGGAGGCATAGAAGAACACCTGTATTGTTCTCCCTGCT